CTGCCTTGTGTAAGATTTTATACTTCTAATATGAAGAGATTGCATCCAATACATTCACTAGGTAAGCGTTTAATGAAAATGAAACAATATTTAAATATGCTGCTGCTGGTCATGATCTTTCTCACTGAAACTCAGACATGCACAAAAAGCTGTGTATTTGTGATGGGTGATGCTTGTACTCGAAGCATGCAATCTTTACTAGAAGATTGCTGTTTAACAATGTTTTCATGTTCATGTTGCATTGTGTATGGTTTCAGTATGGTATATTATGTTTGAATTGTACCTTCTATTTTTTCTCCTATTAAAGTATTTTATTTTCTGTTTGTCTCTTTGTTGCATAATAAAGATGATCAGTCCCCTTGACGCTACTTCTTCCTTTCCAGATGCTTTCTAAACTTAAGTACATGGTCAGTTGTATGCCTTCACACTTTAAATGATTAGAATGGCGTGTATGCTGCTGGAACCGATGAATTGTGGCTCATGATCCTCTCATGAGCTGACAAGTTACCTTATATCACATCTTAAGAGCTTTCCATGAGCAGAAAAGATGATAGGTTGGACAAAACTCATTCATGCTGCTTTTCTGCCTCCCATGTTCATATGTTGCTGTCCCATGTGATTTTAATAGAGAAATAACCTCCTAAAAGGAGAGAGAAAGAAGTATGTAACACTTGGGGCCAATAGCAAAACCTTGTTATTTAAAGGTAGATTTGCTAAGAAGAGGTAATGTTTTTCTGAGGAAAAAATTGTCAGTAAGTTTGGGCTGGTTGCGGTGTTGGACCAGCAAGGTGGCATCTAGATGATTTATCCTTCTGCCCTGTATTTCTGAGCTGAAAAAACCTTTGGTTATCTTTTGTGCTTTTACAGTCTAAGGACATACAGATGATAATAAGGTTATGAAATTGAGTTAATGTCTTATTTTGAACGCTTGACATATAGCAAAAATATGTAAATTTACTTTTTATTAGTTTATTGTTCTTTCCCCTTAGAATGTCGTTTTCTGAGCTCTAAATGGATTGTTGTACCTCGTAAATCTGGTTATAAGCCCTTTGTTAGAGATTCCATTTAATTTTCTTTTACTATAGCAATGCATATTTCATTGTTTAGAGAGAATGCACTCAATGTGTTTAATTCTCATTGGCAGTATGTTGGTTATAGGATACGTGAGCTCTACAGAACTCTTTGTCCTGCTCCAGTCCTAAGCCAGGGCTTCATTCCCCGGGAAAGGGAGGGACTTTGTGCACCCAGATCATCTTCTGACAGGTAGTCAGGGCTAGAAGGTTTTCTGTATTTGGGAAGCATTCCTGTGTCCCTCTTTTTAGATGGGGCTTTTGAGTCAGGTGAGATTTGAACGCATGAGTGTCTGTGAGGACTCTGCTACAAAAAAGTACACCTAGTATGTTTTTTATATCTTTTGCTTTATGCTGAAACGGACACACTAATTCACGGACGCTTGTAAGAGATGTGCACTTTGCAATGTCTTGTAAACACTATGCCGTTTGTGAAATGGCTGCAGAACCTGGCAGCCAAGGTTGTTTTATTGCAGGCAAGCGGAGCTACAAGAATATCTGACAAAAGCATCTTCAGGGTTCTTTTAGAATTGGAGAAACTAGCAATGAAAGGGCACAAACACTACATAGTCTGTTCTCAGTGCAGTGTGCATTTAAACTTGCCCTAGATAATCAGGTTTCTTTTGTGTCCTGTTGCGGGTATGTTTGAAAACACGTAGGAGACAAAATTCAGGGCCTCTGCTATGAGAGGGCTTTTCAATAATGTTCAGATTGCCACTTCCCAGTGAATTACCAGACTCTTACTAGGGTCAAAACATGGACTTTTTTTCCCCCCTCATGAGTAAAGTAGGTCTGTACTGTTTCTTACTCTCCTCAAACTGTAGTTCTGCTTTGGGAAGGACCAGTTTTCACCTCTTCATTTTCCAGCCCTAACCAGCCTTATTCTATCTGTAACATTTTCTTCTCTGCCCTGCCCCCCATATATCTCTGTTTTTGTGGACATGATCAGGAAAGAGCTAGGAAAGTAAGTTTTATGTTTATTTCCCCCCCCAAGCTGTTAGGAAATTGGGGGGAAAAAAAAAAAAAGGAAAAAGTCACTGCTGCCAAATGCATTCTGTGGAAAGCATCTAATACCATTTTAAATCTTTGCCTTAAATCCTCTGTATACATTTAGGATGCATTCTTCAGCTTCACAAAGCTGCAGGTCATTTCCCAGGGCTTAGTGACAGAATACTGTTTTTATGAACTTGCTTAAGCTTATGAGGATGCTTAGTCACTGAGAAAAGTGTTCCTCACTATTACTTTACATTCTTTCTCTACTCTTGTGGTTTTTTCTCTTTTTTTCCTCTGTATGTATTTCCCTACAGCAATTCTCCGAAGTTTACTCTGTCTGTTTCCCTCCCACTCCCCTTTCTGTCTTTTAAAGTAATCAGCAATTAAATAGCTAAGATTATATTACTTAGCTACTAAGTATGGTCTCATATTCTGTATGTTTTATAAGCTCCTCTGTCTGTGCCCTCAATATCTTGGGGCTGATGTGAGCCTCAGGGGTAAATAGAGTAACTAAGAAACTCAGCATCAATAATTTCCAGAGTTTGCCTGCCATGTTTACTTCTATGGCTGGAGGAGTTTATATTTCTCAGAAAGTGTTTGCAGTTTGAAAGAATCTGAATGTCTTACCAGTCAGATTTTTTTTCTTTTTTGAATGCTAGAAGCATTTACTTTGTTTGTTTTC